TTAAGTTGACACTTAGCTAATTTTCATTGCCACCCGCTACAGCATCTTAGCAACCAACCACTTTATTCAACACTGTCAATATTTGAAAACCACCCATTAGGTTGATGACATTACTCAGCTTAAACACAGGAACATCTGCTGTCAAATTAAAGGCAGAAACGTGCTGAAACTCCCTGAGACTCTCAATTTATCATCCAGAAGATGATGGCTTCTTCACTGGAAATTCAGTTTAAGCATAAATTTGCAATCAACCTTTACATCATTTGTATTTCACTTGGAATCATTTCCTCGATATGTTGTGGTTGCTCTGGTAAGCATACTCTCCTAGTTTGTTTTTTTTTTCTCTTAGTTGGATTTTCGGAATATAGATGGTTTTACGGAGCCTGAATTTGTCTGCATAAAAGCACAGCGTTGACTGGGCTTTTCCTGTCGAATTGATTTCCTAGGCAAGACATAAATATTCTCTAGTGAAACTTTCTGGCTTGTCGCCTCTTCCAGAATCTTAAATGATGACAACAGTCAAAAATCCATTACCACCCTTGATGTTATGTCAATTGAATTAGATTCGAGTGGTCAACAATTCAAATAATTCAAACGAAGAACAAGATTGTATATGAATATCGGCATAATAACAATTTAGAAAGTAAATCATGCCGTATATGTAAGCAATATATATGGAGAATTAAAGGAAAAAGTTTAATAAAAGAAAAAATACAACAATAAAATGCTCAACGGAAATTTAGATACGCAGTCTTTCCTCAGAAAATATTGTACTCAGAAAGAGCATCCTGTTTTGTGTCCAATTAATGTTTAAAACTTAATTTTTAATTTCTTTAATTCTTTTTTAGACGATGAATGTCGCAACATCATATTCAAGGAACCAGTTGCAAACAAGGCAATGAAGAACCACGTGATTAAGAGTGAGGAGGTGCCCAGTGAAGGCAGCTGTCGCTTGATGTGCTATATGGAGCCCAATTGTGTGTCCATCAATTTAGGATCACTGGAGGAAGGAAAACACAAATGCGAGTTGAACAACGCTACAGATGAAAAACAGTTTGCAAATTCTCTTGTAAATAAACCGGCTTTTACCTATCTTGCTATCGAGGTAATTTCATACAAGACTCCCAATTAATTACAGTCATTGAAAGAAAGCCCACAATGCAAATTTGTAAAATAAAAGTTTGACAGTTAAAATCCCAGTATTCTAAGGTTACCTTACTTTTTTGAACTCCTTCCAATTTGTTATTTGCTGTGTGCTGTAGAGGTTCATTGCATATTTGAAACTTTTTGCAACCTGCTTCAGACACCAGAAGCCTCTCATGCACTTTAAAAATCAGTCTAATAGAAGATATGTGGACTTTTTCTCCTAACAGAATCTCTGTAGCAGCAGCCCATGTTTGAACAATGCAACCTGTCAAGCTGGATTCACCAGTAAAGGATATCGTTGTATCTGTCACCCTGGATTCACAGGAACGAACTGTCGTAAAGGTAAATTGAAATAATTAAAAAATTAAAAAAAAATTAAAAAAATAATAAAATAATGACTTAACTAAAATACAATAGATAAATTAATTAATCCATTTAACACACAGGGGAAGATCTTATGAACTTTCCGTTTTCCAAAATATATTGTCCTTTCTCATCCAGTTACGTTTGTGAGGTGAACACCGATTGCACGGCAAACTTCAGCTCTTTCTCATCTTATCAATTTGCTTGAAACGTTAAANAAGCCCACAATGCAAATTTGTAAAATAAAAGTTTGACAGTTAAAATCCCAGTATTCTAAGGTTACCTTACATCTTTGAACTCCTTCCAATTTGTTATTTGTTGTGTGCTGTAGACGTTCATTCAATATTTGAAACTTTTTGCAAACTGCTTCAGACACGAGAACCCTCTCATGCACTTTGAAAATCAGTCTAATAGAAGATATCTCGACTTTTTCTCCTAACAGAATCTCTGTAGCAGCAGCCCATGTTTGAACAATGGGACCTGTCAAGCTGGATTCACCAGTAAAGGATATCGCTGTATCTGTCGCCCTGGATTCACAGGAACGAACTGTCGTAAAGGTAAATTGAAATAATTAATTCAAAAATAAAATAATGACTTAACTAAAATACAATAGATAAATTAATTCATTCATTTAACACACAGGGGAAGATCTTATAAACTTTCCGTTTTCCAAAATATATTGTCCTTTCTCATCCAGTTACGTTTGTGAGGTGAACACCGATTGCACGGCAAACTTCAGTTCTTTCTCATCTTATCAATTTGCTTGAAACGTTAAAACGATGCAATGGTCATTATGCGTGTATCCTCGAAGACCCATGGTTAGTTAATTGGGGAGGGACGAAGTAAAATTGGCAAACAAACCTATTCGTTAATTAAGAGCCAGTTCCTATAAATACCGAGAACGAGATGACGGTTGCGAATTTTTTACTTCTTCATATTTTGCCCAAATGACCTCTGTAGTGAGTTGTTTTCGAAAATACCATTCAAAGGTCCTGAAGCGCTTTAGTCTTTTCGAAGTCGGGGAAAGTTTGAAAATCGCCATTTTAGCTGCCTGATGCCGCCGAAAATGGCCGAAAATTGTGCATTTACTTTTCGCTCGTACAGATCAACGCGATGATATCTACCAATATACTTTGGGTAGCTCATAGTGCATGTCTTGCTGTTTCTAAAACATTACTTTGATTAGTAAAAGCTCCAAGTTTAATAATATTTTAGGCCGATAAAA